AGAGTGTTGACACGTGGTGGGGTTGCTAACCAATGTCATAAAACAATATGTGTACTGACTGTTTAATGAGAACCTATTTGTTCTTCATCTAAAGTACAATAAAAAAATTAAAAAAATTAAAAATAAACAATACCCATGAGGAATGTGCTCCTTTAAACGATCAACTACATGAGACCAAATGGTCAGCATCTACACAAAAGCAAAGATGAGAAAGAAAGCAAAGGCAGGGAAACTGGAAGGATGGAAACAGGGCAGGCAGGGTGGAAATGGTGAGAGTGCTGACACACTACGGGGATTGTAATCAATGTCATGGAACAATTTGTGTATGAATTGTTGAATGGGAATCTAATCTGCTGTATAAACTTTCACCTAAAACACATAAAATTTTCAAAAAAAGAGAGAGAGAGAAAGATTCAAGGCAAATTTTGCCTAAGGTTGACCCTGATGGTAGAAATCAAGGAATCAGAAAAGCAAAAGGATTTGGATCTTTGGGAAAAAAAGAATGAAAAAAGGATTAAAAGGAAGAAAAAAGAATTTAGCATTTTTAGATTTATAAAAGTTTATAAAAAAGTGATTAAAAGCCTTGCTTCTCGCCTTAGAACATTTCTTTAAGGAAAATTATTTGGTCTTACCCTGCAAGTATCAAAAACTCCATCTTCATCACCTGCACAAAATGAAGTGTTAGGAATTATTCCCCCGTAACTCTTCTCAGAATTACAAATGCTTCGAGAAATATAATGCACTTCTGCTTCCCGTAAGGTATCTGTACCATTACCTATCAACAAAAAAATACCAATAAGTTATTTTGGAAAGTAGGCATTTTGACAGTGATTTTTGGTATTCGATAGGTTTTCTTCCAGAGTGACTGATTCAGCAATTATGTAAAATTGTATCCATATATGTACACATATATGCCTAGGAAAATTCTAGAAGAATGTTTATCAAAATGTTAATAATAGTCATCTCTACATAGTAGGAATTTCGGGTGATTTTTGTTATCTTTGCTTTCATGTATTTATTAAAGGTCTCACAAGAAGACATATAATTTTTACAAAATAAAGCTATATAAACATTGTCAACGGTTAAAGATGTAAATGCTGAGCTCAATCTTACGTTGTAAATTTGAATAATTTTTACTAAATTTGCTAATGATATTAAGACATGAAGGATGGTGAACGTGAAAACAAATGTTTAATTCACGTATTCCCCTGACTTCTCTGCTAATTTCTGAACATAAAATGTTCTTTGGTTTTTGTTTTTGTTTTTTTGTTTTTTTGCCACAGAAGGGACAGGAAAAGACAGAACACCATCTCAGGAACCATTAATGGACAGATTATTGTAAAATTAACCCACAGAAAAGTTACTATAACAGCAACATCTGATTCCATCAGCCTGTCTCAGAGCTGCAGGTGTCATAGGTGGTAGATGGAATGCTTTGTGTGTCATGCCTCCTTCCCCAACTTTTCTAGTAATAGACATTGTCCCCTTGGCTTCAGGTGGGCAGATTACCTGATTATTCCCTTCATAGAAATCCATTCTCCTAGTGACGACAACTGAGCTAAAAAAACAAACAAACAACAACAAAAAAAAACCACTGCCGTCGAGTCAATTCCAACTCATAGTGACCCTATAGGACAGAGTAGAACTGCCCCATAGAGTGTCCAAGGAGTGCCTGGTGGATTTGAACTGCCAATATTTTCGTTAACAGCCGTAGCACTTAACCACTACGCCGCCAGGGTTTCCCTGATTGAGCTACAGACCAGTATATTTTATATAGGTCTAGCCAATTTGAATACTTTTCCAGCATTTCTTTTACAGAATCTGCCAAAGAAGAACGTTTTTCACTCTAGTCACATGACTGTTTGGCTATATGGATATATTTGGGCTTGCTTCTATTGTCTAATCTGCTCTTTTTATATCTCAAAAGTGACTGGCTTAAAACACACCCTACACTGATATGGCTTCATCAACACAACAAAGAAAATCCTAGTTCCAAATTATATCCGAAAGTATAGGAGTTAGGATTTACAACACATATTCTGGGGAGACAAAATTCAATCCATAACACCTCCCTTCTGGCACCATTTTCTTTCTGATATAGCTTTCATTTCTTTTGGTGCAAACTGTTTGTAGTAAACTCAGATTTTGTTCACTCTTATTCTTGAATGATAGACAACATGTAATCCCCTTTTATACACTGTAGTGAAGTTGTAGAACAACCAAAAATATGTGAAATACAGCCAGAGAGAAAAGAAAAATCCTTATAAGAAACTACAATTGACTTTCAGAAAACTTCTCAACAGCAATAATGAAAGTCAATAGACAATGAAATATCACCTTCAAAGTGCTAACATAATTATGAATGTGTAATTGTGTATCCAGCAAAACTAACAGGTACACAACCAAAAACATATTAGCCCCGTTTACATCTTATATTTTTAAATAAGTAATGGGATAAGGGAGGGAAGAAAACAAAAATATTTGCTATATATATACATACACATACAAGCATATATACGTGTATACATATATATACATGTACACATTATATATATATATATATATACACACACACATACACACACACGTATAATAAAACAAGGACAATCGGAATCAATCATACCAACCAATACGGTAACTCCCTTCTTTGCCCATTGATACAGAGGCATGAGGAGGCCAAATTGGCCAGGTGGCATTCTTAACTTCCAGTTCAACCGGTATCAGTTTGGAACTAAGATCTTTAGACCCACAGAACATAGGGTCACGTGGACAGGATGCAAAAATTTTGCTAGTGGGTCACTAGAAGTAATAATGAGTGGTGTCATTCCCATTTCCACCCCTTGATTCCTGGACCCATGAATCCTGACTATGGGAGAAACAGCACCATATATTGGACACTGGTTTAGAGCATATACAGCCTTGTGGAGAACACTGCCCCAACCATGCAAAGTAATGCCAGCTAGCTGGCACCGTAATTGTGTCTTTAGAAGGTCATTCCATGTTCTATCAAGCCAGCTGCTTCAGGATGATGGGGAACATGGTAAGACCAGTGAATTCCATGAGCATGGGCCCATTTCTACATTTCATTTGCTGTTAAGTGAGTCCCTTGATCTTAGGTAATGCTGTGTGGGATACCACGATGGTGGATAAGGCATTCTGTAAGTCCACAGATGGCAGTTTTGGCAGAAGCATTGCATGTAGGGAAGGCAAATCCGTATCCAGAGTAAGTGTCTATCCCAGTAAGAACAAAATGCTGCCCCTTCTATGATGGAAGCAGTCCAATGTAATCAATCTGCCACCAGGTTGCTGGCTGATGGCCCCAAGGAATGGTGCCATATTGGGGGCCTGGTGTTGGTTTCTGCTGCTGGCAGATTGGGCACTCAGCAGTGGCTGTAACCAAGTCAGCCTGGGTGGGTGGAAGTCTATGTTGCTGAGAACATGCATAACCTCCATCCCTGTCACCACAGCCACTTTGTTCATAAGCCCATTGGGCAATGACAATGAAATATCATTGGATACTTGAGTGGCTGGGGAGAGGATGACTGGTTCCCACAGAACAGATCATCCTATCCACTTGATTATTAAAATTCTCCTGTGCCTAGGTCACCCTCTGGTGAGCATTCACATGAGACACAAATATCTTCACTTCTTTAACCCATTCAGAAAGGTCTATCCACATACCTCTTCCCCATACCTCCTTGTCACCAATTTTCCAATCACGTTCCTTCCAAGAACATCCAGCCAAACCACTGGCCACGGCCCAAGAATCAGTATACAATTGCACATCTGGCCATTTCTCCTTCTAAGAAAAATGAACGATCAAATGTACTGCTCAAAGTTCTGCCTATTGGGAGGATTTCCCTTCACCACTGTCGTTCAGGGAGGTCCCCGAATGGGGCTGTAGTGCTACCACTGTCCACTTTCGAGTGGTGCCTGTGTATCACACAGAACCATCTGTAAACCAGGCGTGAGTTTTCTCTTCCCCAAATGATCATAAGGAACTACCCATGAGGCCACAGGTGCAGACAGGGAGAGGGGAGATAATGTGACAGGAGTCAAGACTATTAGCATTTGGGCCACTTCCTTGTGTAACTTACTTTTGCCTTCAGGTCCTGCTCGAGACTGATCTTGTACATACTACTTCCATATAATGATGGAGTGCTGCTGTGCACGTCCAACTTTATGACTCTGTGGGTCAGACAACATCCAGTTCATGATGGGCAGCTCAAGCCACATGGTGACTTGGTGGCCCAAGGTTAAACATTCAGTCTCTACTAAGGCCCAGTAACAAGCCAAAAGCTGTTCCTCAAAAAGAGAGCAGTTATGTACAGAGGATGGATGGCAAGGCTTTGCTCCAAAATCCTAAGGATCTGCACTGTGACTCATCAATACGGGCCTGCTAAAGACTCCAAACAGCATCTCTATCTGCCACTGACACTTCAAGCACCATTGGATCAATCAGATCATATGGCCCAAGTGCTAGAGCAGCTTGCATGGCAGCCTGAACCTGTTGCAGACCCTTCTCTTGTTCTCATTCCCACTCGAAACTAGCAGCTTTTCAAATCACTTGATAAATAGGCTGAAGCAGCACACTCAAATGAGGGATATACTGGCTCCAATTCCAAACGGGGCCAACAGGTGTTGTGCCTCCTTTTAGTTGTAGGAGGGGCCAAATATAACTATTTATCCTTCACTTTCAAAGGAATAGCTAAACATGCCCCACACCACTGGACCCCTAGAAAATTCAGTGAGGTGGAAGGTGCCTTAATTTTTGTTGGATTAATTCCCCACCCTCTAGCACACAAATGTCTTACCAATAGGTCTAGAGTCATTGACAATTCTTCCTTACTAGGTCCAATGAGCATAATGTCATCAATGTAGCAGACTATTGTGATGTCTTGTGGAAGGGAAAAGTAATCAAGATTCCTGCAGACTAAATTATGACATAATGCTGGAGAGTTGATATAGTTCTGAGGTAGGACACTG